AAGGATTTGGATACTGCATTGCATATGGGCCTGTCATTGTTATATGCATATGCATATATATGTGCACTTTGAATGTCTGGGACGTTAATATTGCTCTCAACTTCTCTGAATTTTAAGCTAGTGTTTTACATGGTGATGCTTGCTTGATGCCCAACTACATATATGCCTGTACTACATATATGATGTACACAGATACTGCAAAATTTTGTGTACCTTAAGCATGGCTGACTTGCCCCTGTATGTTTTCCTTTTATTGAGGGGAACCAATGAACTTTGTGTGTTATAAGAGAACTTTTGAAAACAAAACCAAGTATGCAAGAGGAGTTATTCTCAAAATCATTCTGATATCTTTTGAAATATGGCATGTTAATAGGATTTGACATCTTTCAACTCTCTACCTTGATTGTTTTTTATCTGTGCATCGTGTAAACATATGTAATAATCTGAAGGAGACATTGGTGCATTTGCATGTTAAATGTTGGGTTTCATTGTACATTCAAAACTATGGGTTTGGCCAGGACTATCTTCTTATAGGAATGTGAAGCAAGAAATGTATCTATATCCACAGTCTACGATAGATTTTTTGTTAAAATTGACTAACTAAGATGTAGAAGTAAGATTGGTTTGTTCTCACAGATTAGGTTGTGTTGAGTCATCATAATACTTTTAGTTATGAGAACAACAAGAAAGGGAGTAGAAATTGTTTAATTTGTTTTTAATTCTGATTTCAGACCATGAGTTACTAGAGCTTGCTGCATCCTTTCAGTCTCCTCCTGGTAAGCCAGCAACCAGGACCTTGAGTGTTGCAAGACGTGTCAGGGGTGCACTAAGGCAGGCTGACAAGCCTGGATTTGTTTCTGCATTTTGTCAATCAAACTGTGGTGATGTAAGCCCGAATGTTCTAGGCGCTTTCTGTACAGACACTGGACTACCTTGTGAGTTCAATCACAGCACCTGTGGCGGGAAAAATGAGTTGTGCTATGGCCGAGGACCGGGGTATTTATTCCTTTTCCCACTATATTTCTTTTGTTACTGACATGTGCACATATGACTATGGTTTATGATGCCTGTGCAAATACTAAATTGCATCTTGTACATGACGTTACAGTTACCCAGATGAATTTGAAAGTACACGTATTATTGGTGAGAGGCAACTCAGAAAAGCTGTGGATCTTTTCAACAAAGCATCTGAGCAGTTGAGGGGGAAGGTTGACTATCGCCATGCTTACATAGACTTCTCCCAAATTGAAGTGACGCTTACCAAACAGGGAGGAGGTTCAGAGGTGGTAAAAACATGCCCTGCTGCAATGGGGTTTGGATTTGCTGCTGGAACCACTGACGGACCTGGAGCTTTTGATTTCAAGCAAGGCGATGATCAGGTAACATGTAAATGCAATATTTCATATGTAGTGCATGTTCTATGCTCTCACAATAATTTCTAACTGACCATTTTGCATGGTTATTTGTGTCATATCAGGGAAATCCCTTCTGGAGGTTGGTGCGCAATGTACTCAAAACACCAGGCAAGGAACAAGTGGATTGTCAGAATCCAAAGCCAATCTTGCTTGATACTGGTGAAATGAAGGAACCATATGATTGGGCGGTAGGTTGCATCACATATTTCATTTGACAAAGATGTAGCATTAAATGAAACTCCCTAAATAGTTGGATCATATAGCACATATGACTATGGTTTATGATGCCTGTGCAAATACTAAATTGCATCTTGTACATGACGTTACAGTTACCCAGATGAATTTGAAAGTACACGTATTATTGGTGAGAGGCAACTCAGAAAAGCTGTGGATCTTTTCAACAAAGCATCTGAGCAGTTGAGGGGGAAGGTTGACTATCGCCATGCTTACATAGACTTCTCCCAAATTGAAGTGACGCTTACCAAACAGGGAGGAGGTTCAGAGGTGGTAAAAACATGCCCTGCTGCAATGGGGTTTGGATTTGCTGCTGGAACCACTGACGGACCTGGAGCTTTTGATTTCAAGCAAGGCGATGATCAGGTAACATGTAAATGCAATATTTCATATGTAGTGCATGTTCTATGCTCTCACAATAATTTCTAACTGACCATTTTGCATGGTTATTTGTGTCATATCAGGGAAATCCCTTCTGGAGGTTGGTGCGCAATGTACTCAAAACACCAGGCAAGGAACAAGTGGATTGTCAGAATCCAAAGCCAATCTTGCTTGATACTGGTGAAATGAAGGAACCATATGATTGGGCGGTAGGTTGCATCACATATTTCATTTGACAAAGATGTAGCATTAAATGAAACTCCCTAAATAGTTGGATCATATAGTATCTCATTCATACCATTTAAAAGTCTCTGTAATCATATAGCTTCACCTGTTATATTATATTGTAGTTGAGGTTCATAACTTATGCAAGATTCATATCAGATTCATGTTATATTAGCAATAGGAAATAACAGCTTCTGTTTCATCTGTTCTGGATTCTTCAGGAGACAATCTGCATAGCAATATATATATATATATATTCCAAATTGTCTTTCATGTATAGGCATGAGGTTGCAGCCATTTGAGTTGTTTTCTCTATGAGCTAGAAAAATATTTTTGGTATCTTCTGAACTACTATAATATTTTCCCTAAAGATTACTTATATCTCTCTCTCCATTGTTCCTGCAGCCTTCAATACTTCCAATTCAGATCATTCGAATAGGGCAGCTTGTCATTCTCAGTGTACCTGGAGGTAGTATCTTACCCTTCTTTCGTAAAACTAAGCAATCTAGAAATAGCCCATATTTTTTAAAATAGTAAGAGGGGCCAAATGGTGCATGGCTAGTATGCTATTGCAGTAAGTGTCTAAACAGAACTTTTGTTAATATGTTAAAGTTGCTTTTTTGGACACACTAAAGTCCATCTTTTTTACTTTGAACTGGTCAACAGTTTGAATGCCTCCTAAATTTTTGTCATGAATTTGTTCCGCACAGAATTTACAACAATGGCTGGTAGGCGTCTCCGTGATGCTGTGAAGACAGTACTGACTAGTGGTAGTAATGGCGCAAATGTTCATGTTGTTATAGCAGGATTGACTAATACTTATTCACAGTATATAACTACCTTTGAAGAGTTTCAGGTGCAGAGATATGAGGTGAGTTATTTTTTTCTTGAATTTATAGATTGCCTATACATTCTAACAGAGAGATCATTTGGAAAATTCCTAGGATATATTAAACAAAATTAGACATAAAATCGTAAAACTTTTCAGTAAGTTAACAATGCACCCTAAATATGACATATAGGTAGCTTACGAAATTCTCAGAACGTCGGTTCAGTAACCAGTTTAGACTACTGGTTCTTCCTACTAGGAAGTGGTTTAGGAGTAAACCTGTGCTCTCAATAATAAAATAAATGCCATATTCCATCAGCCTCCTGTGGAAACAGCTTGATTTCACCCTCTTATTTTTCTTTAAGTTAGTTTTTATAAGTTCTATTGTAGCATTATGGTTCAAAATTCATAAATAGGTGTGTTTATTATGATTGTACAGTTTTGTCTTGGGACTGTTATAGTGTAATCGAAATTCATTATTTAACCCATTATGCTTCCCAGGGTGCCTCAACTCTGTATGGACCACACACACTCAGTGCCTACATTCAGGAGTTCAAGAAGCTTGCTACTGCTCTCACCAGTGGCAAACCTGTTGCACCAGGTCCACAACCCCCTGATCTCCTTGATAAACAAATAAGCTTACTTACACCTGTTGTGATGGATGCAACCCCTCGCGGTGTTAGTTTTGGGGACTGCAGCTCCGATGTTCCTCAGAACTCCACCTTCAAGAAAGGCCATGACATGGTAACAGTTACGTTCTGGTCAGCTTGTCCTCGGAATGACCTTATGACTGAAGGAACATTTGCCCTTGTGGAGATTCTCCATGGAAAGGATACTTGGGTTCCAGCTTATGACGACGATGATTTCTGCCTGCGGTTTAAGTGGTCAAGACCTTCCAAACTCAGCACTAGAAGTCAGGCAACCATAGAGTGGAGAATTCCTCAGTCTGCAACTCCCGGTGTTTACAGAATTAGACATTTTGGTGCCTCAAAGAGTCTGGTGGGATCGATTCGCCACTTTACAGGTTCATCTAGTGCTTTCGTGGTAGCATAAGACTCTGTAACTTTGTATACGGGGTATTTGGTAGCATTTTTTGCTAAACATACGACTGTGCACCACGGGATCTATCTTGCGTCTATAGAGAGCATCTCATATTTCTTCGTTTGTACTATGATGCAATATAATCACGTTGTTTTTATACTACTCTCGTGCTCTCTTCCAAATCTAGAAAATTGGTTTGCAAATATCCCTTTGGCGAAAGGGAGGATATGATAAAATGGATAACAGATGCAATAGCAAACAAATATGGAATGAAAATTAAGGTAGCCCGATAAAAAATAAAGGCTAAATTATACTTTAATTTAATATGTGTACTCCAGGGACATGTATTGGAATTATTCTAATTTATGTTTCTCTCGTGTTTGCTAACACATGGGTATTAGAATTATTCAAATTCTTGACTCTACTGCGTTTACTAATACAGAATAAAAAATTATGTAAGTGGCTTGAAAAAAATCGTAATCCAATTCCAATTGCTCAATTCCCACTCCTATGTTTCCCAATTCATTCCAATTCCTATGTAACTTCTTTCATCAAACTAGAGCCAAATAACACTATAAAAATAGCAAGTTTCATCAAACTTGCTGCGGTTTCATTTGATCTGAGTATTCATTTTCATCATATTGGTTTGGTGAAAACTTAAAGGTTTTTTTTTAAAAAAAACAATGTGAAAAAAAACATGAGTTTTATTGTAATTTCACCAACTCCATAAATAAATAAAAACCCAATATGAAAAAAGAGAATGTGGAATGCCAGCAAATTATAAGGATAAATTATTTTAAATCATTATTTGACCCAAAAAAAATTATTTAATCATTACAAACACTAACTAAATATGAATTACACATCAGAAAATATTGTAATAAAACACGAAAACCAAAAGCAACGGGGATTACACCAGAGACGTTGCGTTTTGCTACGGTAAAACCCCGGGACCTGAAGCTTTGAGAAGCCTCATCCGAGATTATAACAGAAGCAAGAGGAAGACACTCAAAATTCAAAAACAATATTCGGAGCCAGCGCCAGTCTCTTCAGTAAGTCATAAGCTTCTCACTGTGTAAAGCTTTTATTCAATTAGGGCTCAGCCTCTCTCTGTAGAGCTCAAATCTGAAAACCACCATTGTTTTCGTCAGAAATCGAGTTAGTTTTTCTCAAAAGAAGAAGAAAATGTCGGTGCAAGACTATTTGGATAACCACATGCTCTCTCGGAAAATCGAAGACGCCGTCAATGCCGCCGTTAGGGCTAAGGCCCCCGATCCCGTCCTCTATATCGTAAATCTACTCACTCTCTCTCTCTCCCTCTGTTTGGTTCCTCGGACGATGAAAATGCGGGAGTAATTAAATTATAGAAAAATAAAAGGAAATTGTAGTTTCTTTGATTAGTTTTGTCTGAGCTGTGCGCGAGTTTGTGTTTCGATTTGTGCTGATTTTGTTGTTGTTATGAAATGAATAATGCAGTCGAATCATATGAGGAAAGCGATTCCGTCAGTGATAACGAAGGTCAAAGCTCGGCAGATCCTCGATAGCAGAGGAATTCCAACTGTTGAAGTGGACCTCCACACTAACAAAGGAATGTTTCGTGCTTCTGCTCCTAGTTCTGATATTTCTGGAATGTAAGTTTCTTTCTCTCTCTCTCTGGTGTTTGGCTGCTGAGAAAATTTATTCGTTAAGGAATTCAACTATTCATATTTTGATCATTAGCTCTATATTTATCATTGTTCTACATAGTTTGTAGAGAAAGCATAAGACTTTAAAGTGTCTTATGCTTGAATTGCATAATTTTTTATTTGTTTTCTTTGCGCGTGGAAATGATTTAAGAAATTGAACTGTTATTGCATAATCAAGAAACTGTTAAGTATCTATATATGTTATGCCACTTGTGGACTATGCTATTTGATCTCCATCCCATTCAAAATTATAATATATTATGTATGGTCGGGGATATTACTTTTGAAACCAGGTATGAGGCTGTTGAATTGCGAGATGGGGACAAGGGATCGTATCTTGGAAATAGTGTGACTAGAGCTGTTAAGAATGTGAATGAGAAAATATCTGAAGCATTGGTAGGCATGGATCCTACGCTTCAGTCTCAGATTGATCAGGCAATGATAGAGCTGGATAGAACAGAAAAGAAGGTACTTTTTATTCAGTGTGACTTTATGTAATTGAGCTCTTTTCTGATCTGTGCTATGTGCTATTTGAGTATTAGTTACTGATATATTTTGGTGCTTGCATGGCATTGCATTTCTAGTCTGATATCTGGTAGTATTCTATGACTCTCCTTGTCTATCGATATAAAATCATAAGTGTTAGGCATCTCTCTAATATATTTGCAAATTATGCATATGGAAGTCTGAATGTTAACTGTATCAAGCATTTGTAATCTTAATATTGATTTTGCTGCTAATAGTTTTCTGAATATACTTAATTTTTGGATTTATGATTTCCTTTTTGGCCATTTCATACACTACTACTTTGTGTCCTTTCTCTTATGTAGTGAAAAAGAAGAATTCTTAGTTTCTTCTTTCTTTCTTTCTTGTTTTTTAGGAAAAAAAATAAAGTTATGATACTCTTAAATCAACTTTCAGGGTGAACTTGGAGTAAATGCCATACTAGCTGTGTCAATTGCTGCTTGCAAAGCTGGAGCGGCTCAAAAAGAGGTATGACTCTTTTCTATTATTACTTTCTAAGTATTGGTAATACTTGTATACTCTATTCCCCCAAAGTTTCTGAGAAAAGATAAACATCAGGTGCCACTGTACAAACATATTGCCGACCTTTCTGGAAAATCACAACTGACCCTGCCTGTCCCTGCTTTCACTGTTATAAGTGGGGGAAAGCGTGCTGGGAATAATCTGGCCATTCAGGTATGCTCTGGTAAGCTTTAATGTTTAGATATGTACTTTCCAAATCTTCTGTTTTGGGTTGTGATTTATGTGGGGAGAGGGTTTCAAGATTTGCACCATTTTTGTTGTTGTGAGTATTTGTATTGACATCATGAAAGTATGATATTTTCACTTAAAATAAGGTCGGAATTTAAAATTTTAAGATCATTGGTTCTTGGAATCTAACTATGTTGGAATTCACTAGTTAGATACTTCTAGATACCACTCATGAATGTGATTGTTTCAGAAACCACTGCTTAATGTTCTCTTTTTCCATCCTATAATATTGGTTTTAACCTGCTGAGGCTGTTTAGTGATTTTGATTATAATATTTTTAACATGAACACTTTCAAATAATGTGTAGCGTGTCCTTATAATTAAACTTTACTTCTAAATATTCAGGAAATTATGGTTCTCCCAATTGGAGCTAACAGGTTTGAGGAGGCATTGCAAATGGGATCGGAAACCTATCATCACTTGAAGGTATTTCATCTCAATTGTTTAACTTTTGAGATTATATCCAGTGTATTGCTCCTAGTGACGTGAAAATCTGTTCTAGTTTGAGAGACTTGTTGAGTGGCTCATTTTTTTTAAAGTAACTGTCCTTATTTATGTTGCAAATTTTATAGCATATGGTTATGTTCTAAAAAGTAATGGACTTGAGCAAAAAAATTTCCACTTGAAATTTTATTAAGCAGTAATTTAACCACATGCTGCTTAAAGGTCAAATGGACTTTGCTCTGTACATGTGAACAAGGAGATGCCACCATGCCCCGTTATTATTGATAGTTTATTATTGTTTGTAAAAAGAACAGGCTGTTATTACAGAAAAATATGGTGCACATGGATGTAATGTTGGAGAAGATGGTGGTTTTGCTCCAAACATCTCCAGGCAAGTGTTTTTTCTATGATCTGTGATCTTCTTTAATTTCTTTACCTTACGGGAGCCCCCCTGAAACTGCCTTCTAAAAATGAAAGCTAACTTGCGAAAGAGGAAAACCAACCATCTTGCAAGCTCTTACAATGCATTAAAGATTGTTTTAGCTTTGTATAACTAATTGTAATGGCTGTTGTTACTTTGTGGCGTATGAGAAAAGGTTAAATTTACTAAAAGGTTATGTGATATGCCTTTTGTTATTGTTATCATTTTTCTGTATCTCTTGGCAGCATTAAAGAAGTCTTGGATCTTGTTAAAGAGGCGATCAGCAGAACAGGTTATAATGAGCAAATAAAACTAGCAATTGATGTTGCTGCTACTGACTTTTGCATAGGTGATGGATCTTTCTTGAAAATTGGTCTTTCTGTAACATAAGAAAATGTCGAAAATAACTACATGCAATATATTCTTGGTGGAAAGCTGAGGCTAAAATAACCTTGTAGTAATGGTTAGAATTTTATTTTCTTTCTAAAAAGAACACGAGTTCATATATACTTAAATGCTGATATTTTGCTTTCTGTTTCCCCATGATACAGGTACAAAGTATGACCTGGACTACAAATCAGCAAATAAGTCGGGACAAAATTTCAAGTCAGGCCAAGATATGACTGAGATGTATAAAGAACTTTGTAATGGTACATAATTATCTCCTTTTAAGTTTCTCAATGTTTTTGTGTTTGATTTTCTCTGTGACTTACCCTTTTATCTCTACTTTTCCCCTGTTTTTGGGGTGTTAGAGTACCCAATTGTTTCAATTGAAGACCCATTTGATAAGGAGGACTGGGAACACACCAAAAAGTTTTCTGGTCTTGGAATTTGTCAGGTTTGTTTATTTTTTCTTGTTGGTGATTTATTTAGTGTCCTGGTGCTTGCATTCTTCGACTGAATTAACTTTGGCCAGAGAAGGCATTGATACTCATGGAGAATTATGTAGGAAGTAACTAGACACGGTATTGTAGCTGTTCTTATTTTACATCCTTGTGAATATTTAAGGTAGTAGTAACTGCAAATCCTGTTGGATGTAAAGATTAACTTATAAGAATAATTTGGTTGGCTTGCCTGTTACTGTGGCTGAGTAATTTAGGAGCTCCCCTATATAAATTAGTTAGCTTAGTTGTCTATCAGATTCGCCAAGGATCTTTCTATTTTACACCTGAGATATGGCTAGATGTTTTAACTTGAAGACTGGTGCTTTTGCAGGTAGTTGGAGATGACTTGATAATGTCGAATCCAAAACGTATTAAGAGAGCAATAGAGGAGTCCACTTGTAATGCTCTTCTTGTAAAGGTATTTAGCTTGTATTTGGATGAAATTAGAAAATTTGGTTTAGGTGTATATTCTGTTATTGTTCTATGGTATTGAGCTATTTTAAATACTATATTACTATGATTCAAAATTAGATAAACCAGATTGGGACAGTTACCGAGGCCATTGAAGTGGTGAAGTTGGCAAAGGATGCGCACTGGGGAGTGGTGACATCCCACAGATGTGGTGAAACTGAAGATTCCTTCATAGCAGACTTATCTGTTGGTCTGTCAACAGGTCAGATCAAAGCTGGTGCTCCTTGCAGAGGCGAGCGGCTGGCTAAGTATAACCAGGTCAACTTTTATATTTACTTACCATGTCCACGGTTCTTCTGTCTATCAGCTGCGTAACAAGCTCTTGGTATCAGATTTTTTCTGCAATCCTGCATGGAGAGTATGTGAAGTACTTTTGCAGCTCCATATTTGATATTCCATATACGACAGTTACCTTTTTCCTAGCTTATGCTATAGAAACAAGTAATTACGGATGGAATTGTCCAAGGACAAGTTGAATCGATACAACTGTTATATTTGTCTACACTATAAATAACTCACGTGTCCATGGTGCATTTCATCCTCTCGTTTTTTTTATCTCGTTTCTTCTGATTTTTTTTTTTATTATTTTTTTTTAAAAGTCATTTTTTATACTCTTCTATGTATTTATCTGCTAATGAAATGCTACCTGCTACTTTCTAATAACTTACCCTATAAGGCTGATATGATAAAGATGGTCAGTTTTCCAAGAGGTCCAACCATCTCTAGGTCTATAGTTTTTAGCGCCATATATGTCTTGTTACAAAGTAAGCCATGATTTGAAACTGACTGGCCAAAGTTTCTTACAGTTGCTTCGAATTGAGGAAGAACTTGGGGACAACGCATTTTATGCTGGTGAAGACTGGAGGGAATCACCCTAATCATTTTCCCAGGTTTCCTCCACACAATTTTATTTTCCTCATATTCTTCATTCAAAGTTCGGGGCTCTTACTGTGCACATCATGAATAGTCATCAACATGATCCACCGCTCACTGGTTCTTCTGCTTCATTGTTTTTGTTATCGAGTGTTTTTTCTTTGTTTTTTATATGAAGAGATGGAGAGCACCAAGAAATGTGTAATTAAGTTTGCCAAGTTCTAGACATGGGCCTTTAGACTAATGAAATTTTCAGATACAAATTGCAGAGAGAGAGAGAAAAAAAAGGTAACAGTTTTGAGTAAATTTCCCCTGGATCTGAACTTTTGTTGGCAAATTGTTAGAGTGGATGTTGTACTGGCCATATAATGATGATTTTCCTGTAAGCTTGTCAATGATTTTTGTGAACTGTGCTTGACATTATCGCATACAATGACCAAAACTCTTGTGAATATTTTTCTTATACAAGCGATATTCGCGGAAGGGAGAGCCAAATATAAGATCTCGCATGCAGGATGGGCTAAACGTTGCTAACCGCTTGAGTTGCATGTCCTTTACTACCAAGCCCAATCTCATGTGAACTGACCGTCAGGTGAAAGAAATCTGAAACTAAAGAAGCCATCGACAAAACTTGTTTAATTTCCAAACATAAACTCTTCATACGGCCAGGTGAAATAAAGCAAAATGTATTCATCTAATATTTCTGACATGAAACATATGGAGCTACAAAATTTGCTAAGAGGCAAATGACTAACAACGGTTGATTTAACCGAAAACTTGTATATGTGTTTCACACTCATGGACGAATCCCAACCGTTGACCACCATCACAATTATCATTTTAGAGTCACATTTCTCATACTGAAATTCTAACATAACATCCAAAGAAAAAAGCCAAAACATAATAAACGTGAAGAACCAAAATACTCATCCGACTTTAAAGCTCGAAATCTACGTTCCAATTCTGTGTCCTATCGACCCTTCTCCTTCCCCAGATCCTTTACATCCATATCCTCCATTGCTATCACCTCCAATCCCACCCTGTGATCAAATCTCTCTCTCTCTCTCTACACAACAACATCCATGAACTCAACCCTTTGCTTCCTCCAACATACAAGGAAACCAAAACATTTAAGCTTGTGAACGAAAAAAACCCGAAAAGAAAAATGTCAGACAAGTTTTTCACGGTCGGATTAATAACAACCTGGTACTCATCGAACATCGGAGTCTTGTTGTTGAACAAGTTTTTGCTGAGCAATTACGGGTTCAAGTACCCGATCTTCTTGACCCTTTGCCACATGCTGGCTTGCTCTCTCCTGAGCTACGTAGCCATTTCATGGATCAAGGTGGTGCCCATGCAGAGCATCAAGTCACGTGTCCAGTTCCTCAAGATATCGTCCCTTGGTTTCATCTTCTGTTTGTCTGTCGTTGGCGGGAACATCTCGCTCCGGTATCTTGCCGTCTCGTTTAACCAGGCTGTTGGCGCCACGACGCCGTTTTTCACCGCGGTGTTTGCGTATCTTATGACCCGCAAGAAAGAGGGCTGGCTCACCTATGTTACTCTCATACCGGTTGTCACCGGTGTCGTTATTGCCAGTGGGGTAAGAACAGCTCCTTCATTTTTATTTTATTTTCTTTAAATTTATTGTGAGTATAAATGTTGCCCTTTTCTCCTTTATTTTTTGGATTGGACCTCCCTTTTGATGAATTAATTTTCCTGATTGGGTTGCATTCATTTTGTGTAATTTAGTTGATGTTCTTGCTTCATGAATTTTAAGGGTTTCTTTTCTTCTTCTTTTTATTGATTTCATTGTCATAAATTCCTTAATTTTTTTCCAGTTAAGACGTAAAATATATTTTCTCAAAATTTCGTTTGACTGCATATTCTAGCTGCAAATTACATATGTCAGTCTAACAATAGTTGGTTGTATGATCATTACGAGAGAGGGTTATTGAAAGAAAAATGTCGTATACATTCGTTGGATGCAAGAATTTCTGAGGGGTTAGTATAAACTGAGTAAATTTGTACTCATTGTTTGCTTTTTCTCACTGCCAAAAACATTAAAAGCAAGGATTTTGTTTGGTTAGATATACATCTCTTGTTGAAGTTGTGAGAGTGAGAGCTGTTGATCATTACTGAATATTCAGAATTTTCTCTTTCCATTGACTGAAGGGAGAACCAAGTTTTCATGTCTTTGGATTCATAATGTGTGTTGGTGCTACAGCAGCAAGGGCACTCAAGTCAGTGCTCCAAGGAATTTTGTTGTCTTCTGAAGGGTAAGATTTTGAACAACTCTATCAATTAATGTGATGTTCTGATTGATGAGCTGATTGATAGTAGCCATCTCCAATTTTAATTATTTTATCAGGGAAAAGCTTAATTCTATGAACCTCCTCATGTACATGGGTCCTGTAGCTGTTGCAATCCTTCTACCTGCAGCACTTTATATGGAAGAGGATGTGGTTGGGATCACAATTGCACTTGCAAGAGATGATGTGTCCATCGTATGGTATCTAGTATTCAATTCTGCTCTCGCATATTTTGTCAATTTGACCAATTTCTTGGTAACAAAACACACCAGTGCCTTGACCCTCCAGGTAAAAATATTATCCCTCTTCTTTGCAATTTTGAATTTATTTGCGACAAATGCATTATCCAAAACAAAGCTTAAATGTGGGACAAATGCGTCCTTGTTTGCTTACTTAATGTTACCTAGTTGAATCTCATCTCAATGCTCTCTTCGTTCTGAGAAAAACTTATGTGAGGTTGTTCATGTCGCATGACAGTGTTGAGTAGTAATTTTAAATATAGAATGTGGTTTAAAATTTATAATCAAACACGTTTCGTTCTTTAACTAGACTTTCTCATACTCAGTTCTGTCACGTGGCATAGATAGGCCCACCCACAGAAGCTTTTCTCCTTGGTTCCTATATTGTTTGTGACATTCTTGCTCAATGTGGTTCCTATTTGGTTCATTGTATCTAAAACCCCTAATTGAGATATTGGGGATCTTCCAGGTGTTGGGAAATGCAAAAGGAGCTGTTGCTGTGGTGGTTTCAATTTTGATATTTAGAAATCCTGTATCAGTGACTGGGATGCTCGGTTATTCTCTTACAGTAACAGGAGTCATTCTCTACAGCGAAGCCAAGAAGCGAAATAGATAAGATTACCCCCGAGTTTTTAATGGGTTGATGCAGCATATTTTTTGAGTTACACCCTCCCAAAATATTTTTATGCAAAAGAGAGGAAGAGGGCTTGTCTGCCCAATCAGAAAGGACATGTTTATATTGCTTTGCCAGCTTGATCCCTGATGTGCTAGCTCAATTTTATTGCTGTTCGTTCTAGGGTTTTTAACGGGGGATTTTGAATCATTTACTTTTAAGCCTTAGCAGGATTTGGTGTTCTAATTCTGTGTATCATTCTTCAATTTTGACAATCAATGAAAGATGATATGATGATTTAGTTATACATGAAACTTTTACCTTCACATAGCTACTAGGCACCAATATCAGTGAGCATTTGCAGAGTTCATTTGATTATATAACCACAAATCAAACACGAACCCCAACAAAGGAAAAGGAGAGGAGAAAGAACAATGTTTTCAATTAAAAACCTACAACACAGAACCTAATGGATTTGAAGATTCCTAAACTACAGATTTGCCAACTCAGTCACTGAGAAAGCAAGGAAAACCTCGAATCGGAGCTTATATGAAAAAAATCCTCTACATGGATTTTTAAACAGTGCAGTTCAAGTAAACAAACAAGGCATAACACTCAAACTTCAGGCTTTGTCTCATCTTCATCTTCTTCTATCTTAGGAGCCAAATAGAACCTGATGTAGCCCATCTCTGCAATCTTGTACTCAACCACAACCGGAAGTTCAGAAGACAGGCTGATTGTAACTGTGTTCGACAATGTGGTCGCTTTTGTGAAGGAATTCATGTACCTCAGAGCAAATGTCAATGAAACTGGCTCATTCATATCAATAACGGTTGCTTCTTCAGGCTGCAATTCCCAAAAATTAGAAAGGAAAAGAAACAGAGTTAGACATTGGATTGCAATACCAAAAACCATACAGCTTGTACATTAATGTTTTGTGAGGACACTGTCGCATAATTACAGGGATACAATAGCAATACCTTGTCCACTGTAGTGTTCTGCCTACAGACGATGTTAGCAGTGCCAATATCCCCTCTTGTAGAGAACTTCACACCTTCCTTGGTCACAGATATCACAACTGCAAGCAACATCAACCCATTACTCAAAAATCAACATATCAAATTTGGAGAATCATGAATATTCTAAGGAGACAAAAGTTAACAGTACCTGTATCACCAATGCCACTGAGGTCTTTACATATCCTAGCAAACTCAGCTGAAGGCATCTTAACAATAGCATGGTATTCTGCCTCCGGAATTCCAAGGTGCTCACTATCAATGTCCATCAGCTTCATCTCAAAATCAGAAATTTTATCTTGTGCTGTGATCCATTACCCAAAGAACAAAATACATCAATTAGAAAACAACATTGAAGCATGGTAACAAGCCGTCACATAACCAAAATTACTTTAAAACATTTCTAACAATTACCACTATTGGATAATGTCTCCCTACATTTCTTTCTGTCCACTTCATTATAACTTTCATCATTTCCGTTTATTTTCTCTCAATATCAGTAGTTACAAATTTCCAAACCCTCCACATTACAATCAATATCGGTAATTACTACCTTGCATTGAAGTAAAGAACAACCATGGCAGGAGCATGTAAACAAAACTCTACATCAGAACCTAGATAGGTATGAAATGATAAACCTCGGCCAAGATTGAGTTAACAGAAACAAACCCAGTTTATCTTTATACAACATTTTATAGTGATGATATATAATTCTGACTTAACAGAAAGCCCATAATTTCCAACCAAACACTATCAGGCTATAATTTTCATGCCAAATAATTATGAGACATCTATCAAATTCAGTTTCGCTTCAATTTCAAGATTTGCATGTCATGTTTCTTTTGTTTTCCAACAATTTATCATACTCAACAACAAAAAACAAGATTTACAAAAATTCAAAGTTAATAGAAAAACAAACAAGCATTACCAGCCAAAAGAAAACGAATTTAACAGCAAAAAAGGAATGAAAGAAAGAAGAGGAGCATACTGGGACTTTCGAACATGAAGGTGACAGTATCGCTGCCATCGTCAGCCTTGATGGTGATGATGTCATCATTTCCGGCGCATTTCAGCATCTTGGACATGTTGGTGAGGTTCATGCCCATGGAGATATTGCGGTCGCAGCGGTAGTGCTCGAAGCCCTCGGATCTGAGCAGCAGCGCCACCAGCGCCACGTGGCTGGAATCCATGGCCTGGAGGGAGAAGCCAGTGGCGGAGCAATCGAAGTTGGCGTCGTTGACGAGGTCCTTGATGGACTCAAGAACCTTCTTCAGCAGCGACCCCTGAACCAGTCGGAGCTCCAACATCGTTTCCGGGTCGTAGAGGTGTACGGATTCTTGATTGGCGTTAGGGTTTTCTTTTGGGGGGAAAATAGGTGCAGTAGATTTTGAGGGGGTGGGGTTTGGGGTTAGGGTTTATATAGTGGAGGAGGGAAATGAACCGTGTTTGGGAATTTTGGGTTTCAATTGGCGGGATTTCGTAGAATTGTGTTCCCGCGCACGACTTGGAGGATGTCTTGCCTACTGTGATGATCCAGCTTAAATGCTCCTGCACCTTCAAAATTGGGCCGCAACATAATTGTGGGCTGTATGGGATCCAAGCCCAGCCCAAGTTTTTTTTTCCTTTTTTTTTAATACAAAACAATAATAAAGTATAATCTTACACACACTACCAAAGTGTTATGGGAATGAGAACCTGAGGCCATTGATCTGCAAGTCAATACACTTTTCATTTAAACTTTCTTTCACATTTTTTAACTTTTTCTTTTATGTAACTCAAGGTTTTTTTCCAACGATAAGTATATTTCTTGAACTATAAGTCATCCCACAAAAATCTATGATACGCTTAAAATATTTTGAAAATGTTGTTGGGGTAAGTAATTACTAGTTAGTACACGCTGAACAGATTGATGATGCAATATGTCAAGTTCTACATTTAGCATTGTGACTACGTACCCTTCCCCCACACTATTTTTTTGGGTTGATGTACATCGACGAATCCCTTTCTCAGCACATGACAGAAAATAAATAGAAAACAATCGAAAAGAAATATTAAAAAAACATCACTGAATTAATTTTCTTCGTTTTATTTTAATAGCATTATCATGGTTCTTTTAGATGAAGAATTTATCATGATGTATAAAGTATATTACACAGACGAGAAGATTCTCTTTGGATCTGATGACCAAAAAGTCAAATGTATGATGGGTTTTTGTTTTATTTTTTAATACAAGCGATATTGAAGAAGGAGAGAATTGAATCTAGATTTCGTACATGAATAAATGCTTATAACAACTTGAGATACAAGCTCCTTACAACTATATGATGGTTTTTTTACTACATGGATACCTTTTTTTAAATCTGTTGAATTGAGTGCATAATTTGATAATGTAAACTGATATTTCAATATTTTTTGAATTGGTCTACAAAAATAAAATTGTAAATTCATCAATCACCACAAGAAAATAAAAATATTACAAAAATTTTTAAATGCAAAGGAAAGCCAATAATCACACATCAACAAATCACATTGAAGAATTTGAAGTTGAGAAGGATTAAACTAATAGAACCCATAATCACTTACCCCCTAAAATAATTGAAACGATGACGACAAGAGAGGCAAGAATAGCAAGGAGTGAAAAACTCAGTTTTGCAAAGCTTTGAATGGAGACCAAAAAGAAGGCCATACTATTTCTTCCATGTACCTTTCCTTCATAATTACTCGTTATCCACCTTCTTTATAACCTTAACGCCATTCCCTCTCTTCAACTCAACCAAAAATTTGCCTACCCATTTTCCCAATCCTTGCTTCTGAGCTTTCGTTTTGCACCTTCCAATGGCAGATCTCAGCCCCAGGTCTGAGATCTCATTCTTGCAAACTTTCCTGTGCAGTGCTTTCGCTGCCTGTTTCGCTGAGGTATCGTTGATCCTTCTGTTTATGTGAATGCCTCTGTATATTTTCAGCTGATTTATTAGTTTTACTTCTTAGTTAAGAAATATGCTTAACTGGGTTAGCTGTTTGATGATTATTTGGCTTTAATTTCTGTTTTTTAGCTTAATAAATGTATTTTGTTACTTGGGTTATGCCAGTTTTATATGAAGATCAATGCTGCTTGTTCAATTTTTTGGAAAGTAGTTAGCGTAATGTCAATACGTTTCCTTGATGGTTTATGGGTTTAAATTTTACTTGGATTCTGAGTTTGTAGCATTCTTGAATGTTAAAATGTAAGGGTAGCTCTTCTTGTTTGTGTTTGACAGCGTGTCCTGGTATAATAATGTGGATTAACTGAAAGAAACTAAAAAATTAATTAGGGTGCAAAAGTGGGAATATTGATTACAACCCTTTAACATATGATATGATTAGGTTATAAGCTTAATGCTAAGCTACAATTCAAATGAGTTGGCAGCATTAAGACGATATAGGACTCTAGCTGATGCTTGGCAGCCTGATAAGGTCTTGTGTATATGTGTATTCGTAACAATTGCTGCTCGGTATATAACATTTAAGAGATTCTTCCCATTTGGTTTCTACATGGATATTGTGCAGTTCTGTACCATTCCTTTAGACACTGCTAAAGTCAGGCTCCAGCTCCAAAAGAAAGCAGTTGTGGGGGATGCAACTGGCTCACAGAAATATAAGGGCTTGTTTGGTACTATGGCTACCATCGCTAGGGAAGAAGGTTTAGCAGCACTTTGGAATGGCATAATTCCAGGATTACAACGCCAGTGTATTTACGGAGGCTTAAGAATTGGGTTATATGATCCTGTGAGTTCCAGATATGTTTCTTTCACAAATGCAATTATGAATTCCTGTTAAATGCTTTATTTGTGACACATTCTGCATATCCATAAACTGCATGTTGAACAGGTCAAAATTTTCCTTGTTGGCAGTGCTTTTGTTGGAGATATTCCTCTGTTCCACAAAATACTTGCTGCTCTATTGACTGGTTAGTATATTTGGCAACTATCTTGCTGGAATTAATTGTATTGCGCACTATTCACTAACATACTCTGCGTCTGTTGCTATTATCTTCCTTGCCATTTGAACTGAAAAAGTAACTTCAACAGCATACTCGTATCACAAACTTTCGTATTGACAGGTGCTCTGGCAATCATAGTGGCTAATCCAACAGACCTTGTGAAGGTTCGACTTCAAGCTGAAGGAAAATTGCCAGCTGGAGTTCCTAGGCGTTATTCTGGAGCTGTAGATGCTTATTTCACTATAGTGAGACAGGTTAGTTTACTTAAAGTAGAACAAAGTTTTTAGTTTACCTTTTTTTTAACTTTGTTTTCACATCAGCTTATTCGTCTTTGTTAATTAATATTTGTCAAAATAATCAGGAAGGAGTAGGGGCCCTGTGGACTGGGCTGGGGCCAAATGTAGCACGAAATGCTATTATAAATGCAGCTGAACTAGCCAGTTATGATCAAGTAAAGGAGGTAATATCAGAGCATTCCATCTCTTAAGTTCAATTATCTTCATCATTTGCAAGTGATTTCGAATTTTCTACATCTAGGATGATAAATCCCAGTGAGTCCTGATACTTCATACTTATGCAGACGATTTTGAAAATTCCAGGGTTCATGGACAATATTTTCACTCATCTCCTAGCTGGTCTGGGTGCCGGTTTTTTTGCAGTTTGTATTGGCTCTCCTGTTGATGTGGTATGCATTCTGCAACCAATTAGTTGTAAAAATAAGTTTTGTACTCCAATTTATCTTCATAAGGCTGTAAATAAATAAATTGGTTTGAATTGCAACTACAGTGAAATGCAAATGCACTATTGCCAAAAAATATGGAAACTTTAGAGATATTTTTTAAACAATAAATTCTTCATGGCAGATCATCAACCTTTTAATTTCAACTTTGATATTGACCTAGGCTTTCTAGAACTGAAATTTCAATATTAATTCATTATATGTATATATATATTTATAATTAACATATGGAAATTACAGCTGAAGTGTAAACATAAAACAGAATTTTAAAGAGAAGTTATCAAATGATAAATCTCTCGTTCGCTCATTCTCTCTCTCTCACGCTGCTTTGTAAAGCATTGCATTGGAAATGAAAATATTGAAGATTATATGATGAATATGGCACTGAAAGAAGAAAAAAAGATCTGTGCATGCTATATTTATTCTCAAAATTTTAAAAATCATGGAATGCTGATTTTGCGATAGTAGCATAACCTGCATATTGTCCGGTGCAGGCTGTAACAAGGGTGTGCTATTGAAAGATTGTGATGACATTTTCTTATTGTACAAAACAATTTTATATAGTTTTTGATGGATGAGCTAGTAAGGAAATGTTGGGTTGGATGCCCTGCTTGTTATGTTCCAGGTGAAATCTAGAATGATGGGAGATTCTACTTACAAAAACACCTTTGACTGCTTCGTCAAAACTTTGAAGTATGAGGTATGTTGGTTTATTTCAGTCTTAATCCGTATTTCCACTCTGGCTGTACCATTCATAGTCATTACCCTTCAAAGCGTTTCATTTAAGTAAAAGGGCCGAAATTTTTGTCACCAGCTTCCTTAAATATTATGGAACTCATGACAGATGATATACTGCAGGGATTTTTGGCCTTTTATAAAGGGTTCCTCCCAAACTTTGGTCGGCTAGGATCTTGGAATGTGATTATGTTTCTAGTGCTAGAGCAAGTAAGATCACAGTAATAGTTTTCGTTTAATCGAAACCTACTGATAAATTGTCATGATGCTTATTTGCTCTTGTTTGTTCACCCATGGCAGGCGAAAAATATTTTCAGGGTATGAATCTGCTCTCCTGATTTTGAGTTTCCGTGAAGACACAACTTTTGCTTGGGAATTGCCTCTTCAATTGTTAAAGATCCGTTCTTTTTTATCTTTTTTGTCCCCTCTGCAAGATTTCTTTTACTTTTCCATTTTATGCATAGTAGTGTTACATCATTGATCATTGTATCACTGGAGAGGATATGAAAGGTTTAGAAGGCATCATTGCATTGTACCACAGAGAACTGTGGGAAGCTACTTCCCTTCCACTGTACCGGATAGTAACATAATATTTACTATCCAGATAATTTATTACAATGCCATTTGAATGGATACCAGATCATTCTTATTCTTGTGACATCATCTTAGTAGGTGTCTTGGTGATTGCATTGCCTGAAACATTTACATATTGGAGCAAAGCTAAAGCGATCTCATTTTCTTTTCTAACCATATTATAGATGACATTTTAATAGTCACGAGATCCAACTATAAAAGTGAGTTTTATAATATAATTAACAATAATGTAATGTAATCGGTAAATATGGTATGATGTAAGTGATTCTAATTTCTAAATAATGTAATGTGATCGGTAAATATGGTATGATGTAAGTAATTCGAATTTCTAAATATTGAAGCATCGAAACCTTGCATACATCAACGGCTACAAGTCGCTAATGATGGCGTAGTTCTTTCATCTTGTTATATATAGGCTATGAGATTTATAATCCATATGCAATTATTAAAGGCAATATTTATCTCTAAAAAGTGCAAAAGAACGATTCTAAGAAAAAGGTACATTTTTATATCACACACCACGGTGACAGTGACACAGCTAAACATTACACAAAGGTACGAGTCTAAATAACATCAGGCACTACTCGCTCGCTAGCAGCCTAATGATATTATTAACATATCTAATTCCGGTTTACCAGATAAACCCTGGCCTTAATCACTGACCCGTTCCCCAACTTAAACCCTGGACTCACCGGAAACCCGACAACCTGACCCGACGGAACCCGCCCGCCCGCAAACTTCCCAACACTCTCCATATAACCCTGATGAAACTCAGCTCCTCGACTCGCCTCGAACTGACTCGGCGCCGGGTCCAGCGAAAATGCAAGCAAATGCAGCAACCACACCGCCTTCGCCAGCCCTAAAAACTCCCCGTAAAACTCACTCCTCGGGTGCCCTCCATCTACGACATGTCGTCTCTGCTCCAAGTCCCCAAACAACGACTCCTCCATCTTGGGATGAACGATCGCCAGGTACTTGGCGGAGCAAAACTTCCCGAACTGACACGTGGGCAGGATCCCGAGAAGCTCGGTGGGGTCCATGGCCTTGAAGTCCCGGTACTGAGCGAAGCAGTCGCGGCGGTGCTGTTCCGGGTTGAGCAGCGAGGAGAGGCTGCCGTCCATGTAGAAGGTCTCGTGGTCGAAGCCCTGGAAGAGCTTTCGTGAAATGTACGACTGCAACGCGTACCTGGCGTTGCCGTTTTGCGTCGCAATGATCGACGACGTGCTGAACGATCCGGCGGTGATGGCGGTAGCGGCGGCGGCTTCAATTGATCGGACGGCGGCGGCGATGTCCCAGTGGGCCCCGCGCATGAGAGAGAGGAGCAGCGATGTGAACGACTTCGATGCCTCTCTCACTTGGCTCATCGTCGCCTCGAACAGCTCCGGCGCCGGAGTTACTGCGACTGTAATTACAGAAACGTTAACAAGGGTAGAATTGTCATTTTGGAATATAAGACAAAGCAGGTAGATACTTTAGTACCTTGAGTTTGACTGCTGCAGCCGACCTTCCTCCTGGACAGAGACCTGCCCTTCTTAGAGTGGGAGATGTTAACGACGCCGTTTAGCTTCTCCATGAGGTTTTGGATCTCGACCTCTCTGGACTTCACTTCTCTCTTCAGCTCCTCCACCGCCGCCTCGTACGGCGCCACCACCTCTCTCAATGTACTCGCCGTCATTACTACTCCGCCACCTCCGCCAGAGGTGCATCTTCTTCGAAATCTCTCTCTGAGCACCCCGAGTTTTCTCAGCTCACCCACCACCGCCACGTCAGCTGTTCTGAGCTTCTCCTGGTCCCACGGGCTGTGGGCCTCTTGGAGGTTGACGTACGCCTTTTTCATTGCCGAAACGGCGTCGAACACCTCCCTCATTGCCATCTCCATCTCTATCACCTCCTTCTTCGTCTTCGTCGACGTCCCCCGATCCTCCCGAGCCCTAAACCCTAAACCTCCGTCTCCAATCTCACCTTCATCTTGTTCCTCTTCGTCGTCCTCGTCATGCTCGTCGTAGCTCTCATTCTCGTACGCTTCATCCTCCTCGTCGCCACCGCGTCGACTCATCGGCGAGTTGCCGGGATCGTGCCGGCCGGCGGCGAGAGGGTGTAGCAAGCAAGAAGCCGCCACTCGCTGAATCAGATCCGAGAAATTCGAAACCTTTCCCGCCATTTGCTCCTCTTTCTTCCTCGCCTTTAGTACCTCTCGGCCTCTGAAAATCCAATTGCAATCACACACAGACAGATCAGATTCTCCCAGTAGCAGAGTAGCGCTTTGAAAGAGAAAGCATAAGGGGTGGGGGCGCAGGATAAGGAAAGCGCCACCAACGCGTTTAGGATAGCAAGTTTAACCCATCTAATCTCCCGCAATTTTTATCATTAATTATTACATTATTAGTTAATCAATTAATAAAAGAGCTGAAATAATTTAAATTAAAACAATAAAATAATGAAGCTCACTGACTGACCTGTCGGAGCGCAGAGACAATCCTGTTTGCTTATGCTTCCCCGGCAATGGATCCCCGTGAAACGGAACGGAGTACAGGTTGTCCCGGTATCCGGTGATGGCGGCGGCGTTCTTCTTCTTTCTGAGTGAACTGAAAATTAACGGCGTTAGGGCCTCAAAAACGCAGGTTTATCTCGAGTTATGGGCACAGTGGTGGTGGTTGAGTGTGTGTGACTGTGGAGGATAGGAGGGTATGTGCATGTGAAGAAAGAGAGTGTAAAATGGACAAGTGTTCGGCTACCGTACACATGTAATGTAGTCCAAAAGGACACGTGTACGGGACGGATTTGGAGTGACGGTTGACCATGGAAAAGTTTCCTTTTTAATTTGATCAAGAGATGGAGACTGGACAGGGATTCGTGGACAGTCCAGAAAAGTAAAAATAATTTCAACCTTGAAAATGCCATTTTCCTGACTCTTGCAATGGTTGAAAAATTCACACGAAAATGCTACTTTCCTTGCGATGCATGCTGCAATGGTTGAGCGTAATGTATTTTATCTCTATCTCTCTTCTTATATGATTTAGTTAGCTGATGCACTTATATTCGGGATAGAAAACACACTTGTAAATACTACATCAAGGATAAGTGAGCGTTTCACCTATCCCGTGTGTAATGTATTTTTTTAGTATCTCAATTTTGATATAATTAGTTAGCTGATGCACTTACATCCATAATAAGAAAAACACTTGCTCCTACTACATCAAAAAGAGATAAGCGTTTCTCGTATATCCAAGGTTTACTGCCAGTTTATTTTTATCTCTCTTCTTATATGATTAGTTAGATGATGCACTTATATATCCAGGATAGGAGAAACTACATCAAGAAGAAGCAAATATTTATTTTATTCGGGATGTAGTGCCACTTTCTCTCTATCTATATTCTCTTATGATGAGTTAACTAATGCACTTACACTCAAAATACAAAAAAACAGTTGCCCATACTACGTTTAGGAGAGACAAGTGGTGTCTCCCATTTTGTAGTGCCTCTTTCTTCATATCAGTCTCTTTTCTATACTGGAGATTAGAGAAACACTTGCTCATACTACAATCCATTGGATGGATCATGTTAGGATGCACTTACTGTAATAAAACAAGGTTATCACACCCTATGTGGGTGAGTGGGAGATGTAATAAAACAATGATTATGCACTAATCCTTGTTTTATGGCACTACACAAATTAAGGCACTTGGCCTTGTTTTATGGCACTACACTAATCCTTGTTTTAAGGCACTAAACCTTGTTTTAGTGCACTACCAACCTAAGCACTAGTGCATGTTTTATAAACAAAATCAAATGAGCACAATCAATCCACTAATTAAGTGTACCATTCATATATATATATATATATATATGTATGTATAGGTTACCTTACCTTAAACTTTCTAGATGCGAGCACCAAGTAAACATGATGGGATTCAAAGTCCAGAGACCAGAGGGAGGTGGAAGGAGGGAGAAAATAAGAGCTCCAATATTATTCTCACTCTGGTTTGGTATCTGTATAGAAATATGATATTGAACAAGTGCAAAGTTCGTTGGTATTTATAGAATCTCGACTTAAAACTTAATCATCTATGTGGAGCGAGCCAGACCATATGTTTAACATTACTTGTCGGCCTAGAGAGTTTTATAGCTATGTTTTTCATAGGATATTTCCCTTCCTTTTATTTATGTTAGCCATGCAACCTTAATTATAAGTTACATGCATGTAATGTAGGTCATCTATTAACATAAAATAAAGTTAACGTTTTACTGACATGTTTGAAATACACATACCTCCCGAGTAACAATCTCCTATCAGACTCAAGTACTAACTAACTGAAAAATTAATACGGCACAAATCTCACGCTTTGGCGTTCATACCACAATAAAGATCAATCCTACAAAAATTCACTCAAATAAAAAAAAAAACGTTTAATTATCGAAATGTTACCAAACAAAATAGACAAATTGATAAACAATAAAATTTCACGATAATAATCAAGTGGCTAAACGATCTCTGATTTAGATGAACTTTTGCAGAAATAATCTATAAAGCGATAAGCTTAAAATTGCATGGTAGATCCGAAACGTTTAGTTATAGTGGTACTATAATTTACTAACTCATGAACGCTGGTATTGCTTTTGTTATATTGCTAGACAGCATGCCTCTCCTTGTCACAAGTGCAATTCTTTTGATTCTATTGCCTTTAAGAACAATGAAATCAAGGTATATCTTTCCTTTTCTTCATTTTCACCCGTCTCTTTCTCTGCTTTTGGGCATAGTTAGCTCCCAAGAATCTCTAAACTGTGGCGACACTAATCCAATCAGACAAGAGCATGGCGTTTAAGAAAAAATAAAAAATAAAAAAATTGAAGAAGCAAAAAACAGTGTTCAACATCTCTGGAAAAAGATCTTGGCTATTTAGAATCTAACCATACTTTTTACACTACTTATTCGGATTTAAACATCCACCATGCCTTTTTTTAGATTTTAGTCATTTTGATCCATACATAATATTCATCAAACAATTCAGGTTAGTGAAAAGGTGTGACTGTGTGTCCAAAG